GTCATTTCTAAACTGGTAGCAGGTATGAAATGATGATCTAAATAATCGGAATTGTCAGTATCTATCTATAATTTAATTTATACCTACCTATTTGTAATTTAATTCATTGTAGGTAACTATAGAATTACTGAACGATTCACGTTATATTGGTATATGTATCTACAATGTGGTAATTCTGTGTGTGCCAGCAGCGTTGTTAGCCTATGTTTTAAGACTTCAACCAATGGTGTCGTACTCTATAATATCCGTATTTGTAATCTTCGGAACAAGTGTTACTCAGTGCCTCGTGTTTCTGCCAAAGGTTAAGATAATTTTCTAATTATTTATTTATTTATTTATTTATTTATTTATTTATTTATTTATTTATTTATTTATTTATTTATTTATTTATTTATTTATTTATTTATTTATTTATTTATTTATTTATTATCCACGCGTCCATCGGGCCAATAATATTCAAATTAGTTACTGAATCTTTTCTTATATTTAGATTATCGCGTATCGCGATGGTGACGTTCTCCCATGGGGACATCAATCACACCGAAGTACTCACCGTACTCATAATATAGTGTCAACTACTACATCAGCTCTACCCGCTACAACAACCGACGTTGCAATACAGTAAGTACATTTATAAGACAAGCGATCACTGGCGAGTGAAAACATTGTCTATTCATGGCTGGTGTATTTTATTTAGCAGATATTTTTCACGTTGTACCTGTAAATGTTGCAACAGAGGATAAAAATCGTTAGTTATTCAAAATTGTTGGCTTGTCTATTGGGAAATGATCTGACGTTGGTGATCTGACTACCATACGTATTGGGGGGGTAGTTCGCGCTAGTTAAGCATAAGTTAAGCATAATTAAACTAAACATACGCTCGACTTCTATATATGTATTACCACTTAACGCAATACAAAACAATACTTCTAACTTTAAGGTAACTACTTATAGTATTTCCTTTCATTAAAAATTAGATGTCTTTACTATTTATAACGTTAACTTGTCCCCGTGTTCGCACTGTCTACTCCTTGTAATGTCCATGCATGTGTTGAGTTTGCCCTCGGTATCCTGAAAGCATAACACTCTGTACAGTGATAGACCCAGCTCTTGTGAAACACGATACAAAATAATTACATATCATAAGTTACCAAATATCATAATTTTCTAATAATGACGTCATAGCTATAAATTGTCTCACAATAATGTAAACTAAATTTGACTACATTTAATAATTGTGATAGCGGTGATTTATAACAACAATGAATCCCACACAGCGTCATATTGGACTCGGGGACGACAACACGTGATAGTGTGTTCGGCTCGCACATTATCTTGCCAATATGGCGCTGCGAGGGTATTGTTTTGTGAATAATGATAGATAAGTAATTAAGATTATGAAAATAATTAAGATTATATAAACATCGATACTGATTTATATTCATTATAACTGTATAGTGTTGTACTGAACCATGAACGTGGATCATGTACACACTTATTTATTTTCAACTAGTCACTGTGCGACCGTGTTTATTCCACGTAATTTCGAGCTGTTTTTTTTTGGACATACAGTGTGGCGAGTTATGAAGCGCATTTTCGTGGAATTGGGAAAATTTTGCCATTATCCCGGGTTTATATCTTAATTGAATTTCATTTTTAATTTAGTTAATTGTCGAAATGCCGATCTTTTACTTTTATTTAAAATTAACCATTATGAAATATGTATAGTACATTATTTAGCATGGAAATACCTAAAATACCTTCGCGTTTGACAAATCTCACGCGATGTTTTTTAATAAGTGTCAAACCGATGCTATGACCTTTGTTTGTTCTGTAAATTTGACGCATATCGGGGGATATCACAATGAACGAAAAATGGTCTAGTAATACTGGCTTTCGGGTGCGAACTGATTAAATAATTAAGTTCAGACCATGGGTATTTTGTCACTCATGTATTCTATTGTGAATAAATGTTCTTGTCCTTTTCCGTAGGTGCAACAGGTATAGTTGGTATGAGGATGGTGAAGAGCAGTCAGTTTTATAAACTCCCACTTCGTGTGATGTTGTTTATGCATGTTTGTATTAGTACCAGTGCTAGGTGCAATGTAGTGTAGTGTAGTGTAGTGTAGTGTAGTGTAGTGCAGTGCAGTGCAGTGCAGTGCAGTGCAGTGCAGTGCAGTGCAGTGCAGTGCAGTGCAGTGTAGTGTAGTGTTGTGTAGTGTAGTGTAGTGTAGTGTTGTGTAGTGCAGTGCAGTGCAGTGCAGTGCA